TTGTATTACATTTTAGAACATATTTAATATTATATAATATTTATAAAAATTAAACTTCTTAAAACAAATTTACATTTTCATCTTCACTCTTGCTTACATCAAACTTTCTATGCTCAGAACATTGTTCCTCTGCCCCCTTTTGGTCTGAACTAGCCGGCCCTGTTGAGTTGCAGTTTTTTTTATATTTATCACTGAATATATATTTTAGACATCTTCCAGGACATTTAATACTTAAGAAAGTTAATTCACGCGAATTCTGTAAAAATTTTTCTTGAAAATATTTTATTTCTTCAGAGTATCCTCGTAAATTTATTCTATCACGTTCCATATCCTTGTACAAATCAAACATTTCCTCTATATAATCGCAATATTTGGTTGTTCCTTCATTCCCAATTTTATATAATCTAACTTTTAAAATTTCGTATAATTCTAAAAACTCATATAACGCCTTCTTTTTTTTTATTTGATCTATACGAAAATCATATATTTTACTATTACAATGCCCATTTATGATAAATAATTCTCTTAATTTGTATAGAAAGGGGATAAGATTTCGAGGATTGGGAGTATCCTTTAGTTTATCATATAACCAATAGTTAAAATAATCACAAATCTTATTGCTGCTTAAATACTTATATTTTTTAAGAATATTATACCATTTATCTAATATTCCTTCAAGATTTTTCCAAAATGTATTAGAGAAATAATTGTCCTTAATGTCTTTATGGTTTAAAGTATCAAAATTTTCTAGTGTTAATTGATTGCTATCACATGTTACATTTAGCTCTAAATAAATATTATATAATTGAGAAGTTTTCCACAAGTTTTCCTAAATATAACAAATAAAAAAAATATATAAATTTAATAAATAATTCTTATAAACAAAAATTTTTAACTACGTATTGTATATACTATAAAAAATCTGTCAATATTTATGGAGATTATTTGTATTAATATCCATAAATCTATTCATATTTTGTATTTTATGCTGCACTACAGTACTATTTCTGTAGTTTTAAAATACTTCAAAGTTTTTTCTGTAATATCCGCACTTATATTATCTTGTATTTTTATGTTATCTTCCTCTAATATTAATTCCAATTTAACATTTGGGCATGATTCTTTAAAATATTTAAATATATTATCATGTTTTAACATTTTTTTAAAGTGTTTTATATCTTCATCATAGATTCCGGAATAAAATGCATTATGATCTTCATGAATCTTTTTGTATATGCGAAAAATATAATCAAGATATTTACAGTATGGGGTTTTGTCCAAAATAACCTTTTTACTTAACAAATCATTTATAGTGCTGTAATACTTCAGAAAATCATAAAAATCTTTTTTATAACTTATAGTGTTATTGTTTATTATTTGTAAATATTTTTCTACGCTTTCATTACCAGTTTTTCTACATTTCCAATGTTCACGTATATTAGAGTAAAAATAAATAATTTCTCTTGCACTACAATTGCTTTTTTTTATTATCCCATATAACCATTTGAAAAAAAAATCATTACAATTTCTAGTACTTAAACCAAAATTATTGCATAGTGCATTCCATTTTTGACATATTTCCTTAACATTGCAACAAATTTTGAGAACTGTAGGATCTTCCATAAAACAATTCGAACATTTCTCATGATAATTTAGTTTACTAATAATATCTTCTATATTCTTATTATAAAATTTATATAAATTTAAATCAAATCTAGATAAATGCTTGGCATAATAAAATAAAATAAAAAATTAAAATGTAAAAATTAATTATGGTAAGCTCATTTAATTTCTACCAGTGGATATGAATAAAATATCACATACGTACATGTCTTAGAGAAAAAATGAATGTTTACACTTTCCTTCAATGAATTAATTACGGTGTCCACATCCTGAGCTGTCATTTTATTTAAATTGTACTATATTCTTTGTCTTTGTAAATGCATACAAGTTATTTAGAATAGTTTATATTAATATATTATTTATATTATTATACATTCCTCATATAAAAGATCATTACTTTTTTGTTTTTTTTTATATTATTACATTGAAAATCTTTCTTATAATTTCCCCCTTGTATTGAATGTAGCAACATATGAAAATATATATAATATTAAACTACATTATATCACAAAATAAAAGAAAGGAACATATTTGAGCATTTAAATAGTAATGTTACTCATAGAACATATGTTTTCTCAAAAATGACTATATAACAATAGCCACAATTTTGATTCCTAACTTACAGTTTCATTTAGCATGGAAATTTATAAATTACATTTATTACAGTTGAGCATAAAATATAATATCATCTCATATAATTATTTACTGTTTCTTTTCATTTTCATAAATTATTTTCTATAAAAAAGAATTAATAGATGAAAAATAAAATATATTACATTATAATTAATAATTAATATATATCGTATTTTCGCATAGTGACATTTAAAATATTGTCCTTGCTTAAACAAAACGTCTTTTATCATATAAAATTTATAGAGTCACGCAACAAATCTAGACAGCTAGTTTTAATAAGTGAATGTGATAAAATAAGTAATAGTGATACATAATATTACTATTGTCTTAGCAAACTTTTTGATATTATATACATAATATTTTTGAGAAAATTATGCATACTTTCTGATGTAAATTTAAACATGTATCTTAATCAAAGCTTCTCTAAATATACGTACATTTAAAATTAAAGAATATGTTTAACATGTAATAATATAATTTAAATTAATATTTACACATTATAATATTATTCTTTGTAATATGCAGGAACTACATATAGGTGTAGAAAAAATAACTACATGTTAAATGTTTATAAAAATTTAATTGGGAAAACGTACACCTTACAAAAAGTTCTTTTGTCAAAAAGATTTGCACATGTTATTTATAAATACAAAAAATTAAAAAATCATTATATGATGAAATAATTACATATATAATTGTTAAATATACCGTTGATAAATACGCAGCAATACAAAAATGAATACATATCATAATAAAAAGTTGTATTACTAACATTATCACCATATAATTCTTAAATAAAATAATTAATACAAAAAATAAAATTTATTTTTTTAAAAATTTATAATTTATGATATATTGTTTAATGATATCACAGAATTAAAATTTGTGCAACAAAAAAATTTAAAACATAGTGCCTTTAAATATAACATTTATACACTAAATATTAATGTGCTTATTACAATTATTATATATTTTTTTTCATTTTATTAATTGCAAAAATTTTATGGATTTAAATCATATATTAAGCTGATAAAATTTAAAAAAAAAAAA